TCTCTATTTTTCTTATTCCCTCTCTCATAATCTTAAATTGGTTTTAAACTATTTATTTACTGGTAAAATAGGACATTCTTTTTCTAATAGGATTCATATTTCTAATCCTAATAGGACTCCTCTAGTTTAATTTATTATCCTATTTTAACTCTAAATAAAATCCTAAACCAATTCTTCTTTTCTAATAAAACTCAAAGTAAAAGAAAAAGAAATATTCTCAATTACAAATTTTTAAACTAGAAATTTGCCTAAAATTAAAATTTTTTTTTTCTTCTTGATTGTCTTTTCTTCGTTAATTACCAAATGCTAGCAAATCGGGAATTTGAAACAAAGGCTGGCTGGTGTGACATGACAGAGATCACTATGCTTCTGGTAGGTTTACTTTACACTAGAAACATTTTACTGAGTCAACTTACAAACACAAAATTCTAAATTAAAATCAATTAGTGGGTCCATTTCCCTATGCTAGTTGTTCAAAAGTGGAGAAATTTGCCTTTTTGCCTAGAACCAAAAGCAAAATGCCAACGTGAATTGTGACACATGCTCATAGAAAAGACACTCTTAAAGATTACATCTAAAGATATACGAATTTTCTTTGGTACATACATCCGCATTTTTTTTTAAATCCGAACTGAAACTACTTTCATCAGCTATTAAGCTAGGATTTTGAAAATTCAAGAGGTCCATAAGAGAGAAGAACTCTTAATAAAGTAACAAGTGGCTGTTGTACTTTGAAATTTTGATATTTCTTTCAAAGTTCCGTTAGACCTCAAGATCACTCCTATTCTACCTAGAAGAGAAAACATTACCAATGAGTTGATTATTTAGAATATAACTACAACAAAATTCCAAAGTTTCCTTTATTTTTCTGTGGATAACTATTCTACCTAGAAGAGAAAACATTACCGATGAGTTGATTATTTAGAATATAACTACAACAAAATTCAAAGTTTCCTTTATTTTTCTGTGGATAAGAAACGTGCTAAAGATTAGAACTAATGTAGATTGAAAATAACTACAGAAGAAAGAAAAAAATAAAGCTAAGCAAAGTTAGTGTGGTGGAACCTGCACTGACAGAAAGGTTTATATCTTTTTTTTTTTGGCAGAAAGGAAATGGTCCTATCTTTCTTGGCCATTTATGTTGATTTCACTAAAAGTGAAAGTCAAAAAGAAAAAAGGAGAACATTTGTGGCTAACGTGAACATGATTGTCATGGCTCTATTATTGAAGGTTCAAGTGTCGTCTTCTTGCCAATGGAAGATTCCTTATGTTAGCATAAAAGGTTGTCATGGCTCCATGAAGGTCGCCAGACTGGTTTAAAGTTCTTGAAAATCTTTCAAGTTGTGGAGCAGCTAGTTTTGTTCAAGTAAATGATAGAGTTCTTCCTTTACAACTCCTCTGTCTTCTAGTTGGTAAGCATATGCCAATTCAATTGACTTAGCTAGTATAAAAGTTTTACAAGGAAAAAGCTCATAGTATAATATAGTTATGGTTTTTGAGTCATGTGAGAGTAATTTAGATTTTTCTAGTGTCATAAAAACAGAAAGTCTAAGTTTTTTCTAAGCCTTTTTGTGTGCCTTATGATAAAAACAAATTAAGCGGCGACAAATACTTCCAAGGATGGTGTAAATTAGGCAATAATAGGGAAATTAATGTTGTATCTAAGCTTCTGATGTAATAAGTTTTGTTTCATTGCATCAATGCATATATAGTACAATGCTTATAGCTGGCTACTAGCCTTAGGCCCTTTGAATTGGGTATACAGGTTGTAAAATCTCGCCAAAATTTCATTGCCTAGCGCGATTGGACGAACATGGCAGTTGATCATTCTCTGGAACTAGCTAAGGTTTCCTGTGATGATGACGATGGGCAGATAAGAACTGGTAACACATTTCCAGGACTCAAATATAGACTAAAATTTATTATCTTTTCTTGCAAATTTCAATCCAATCTTGAATTTGCTGCCTGTGGGAAACTCGATCAGGAACCTTATGGAGTTGCGTTGCGCATATAATTACTGCTGTTATTGGCTCTGGGGTTCTGTCTTTGGCATGGAGTACTTCACAGCTGGGATGGATAGGAGGGCCAGTTGCCTTGCTTTGTTTTGCAATCATCACCTATGTTTCTGCTTTCCTTCTTGCTGATTGTTATAGGTCCCCCGACCCCATAAAAGGAACCCGAAACCGTACTTACACTGATGCTGTTAGATTGAATCTTGGTTAAGTAGAAACACTAGCCCTCTCATTTTGTTCTTTTGGGTCAGAAATTTTCTTCTTGTGGATAGGTCTCTTTACATGTCTCCTAATTTCATTTAGTGATAGTTCAGGTAAAATTCATACATGGTTTTGTGGTTTGCTTCAATATCTGAGTTTTTATGGGACATCTGTTGCTTATGTTATTACTACTGCTGCCAGTATAAGGTACTCTCTTTGCAAACGCATTGATTTGTGTCTTTCATTTAGCTCATGACTCCTGACAGCCCTGAAAATTTTTATATTTAGTTGTTGTTTTTTGTGTATCTTCCTTGTTCTTTTCTGGTTCATTTAAATCAATAGAGCTCCTATATTGATCCCTTTTTATTTTTTATTTTTTTTTATTTTAATGCTGATTAACCCAGAGCAATTCAGAAATCAAACTGTTACCACAGAAAAGGGCATGATGCTCCATGTGCATACGGAATCACCAAATATATGCTGCTCTATGGAGCTGTTGAGATTGTTGTTTCTCAGATACCGGATCTTCATAACATGGAATGGCTCTCAGTTATTGCAGCGATCATGTCCTTTACCTATTCTTTCATAGGATTTGGACTTGGTCTTGCAACAGTGATAGGTATGGCTGGGACTTGAGCTTTGTGAATTGTTTGGTTGCTGAGTACCATATGGAAATAATAACAATCAAAATTCCTTATTTGGTATGGCAAACTTTGTTTTAAAGTTGTCTGTTTGCGCAGAAAATGGGATGATTAAGGGGAGCTTAACTGGAGTACCAGCTGCTAATACTGCTGACAAATTATGGTTAGCATTCCAAGCACTTGGGGACATTGCTTTTGCCTATCCATATGCCATAATTCTCCTGGAGATACAGGTTTGGTACCTAGTCTTTAGTAAATGAAACAGAATTATGATTCAGTCAACACAAATTCTTTCGACAAAAGAAGCTGAAGTGAATCAAAATATTTGTTTAATGAAGGATACTTTGAAGTCGCCTCCACCAGAAAACAAGACCATGAAGAAGGCTTCAATGCTTGCAATCTTTATCACAACTTTCTTCTACCTTTGCTGTGGATGTTTTGGGTATGCAGCCTTTGGCAATGATACACCCGGAAATCTCTTGACAGGATTCGGGTTTTATGAGCCTTACTGGCTAGTTGACCTTGCCAATGCTTGCATTGTTCTTCATTTGGTTGGTGGATATCAGGTATATTTTTTACGACCCCACATCAAACTACTCAAATTTTTCCTCCCAAGGAGCTCTTAACTCACAGCATAATTTCTTCCCGTGTTTAATCATCAGATTTATTGCCAGCCGGTATACGCCTTTTTTGAAAGATGGTTTACTCAGACATATCCAAACAGTCTATTTGTGACCAGGTTTTTCACCTTCAAGCTCCCATCATTACCACCCTTGAAAGTAAATCTTTTCAGGATATGCTTCAGAACAGCCTATGTGGTGTCCACAACTGCAGTTGCAATAGTTTTCCCTTACTTCAACCAAGTCTTGGGAGTATTAGGGGCCTTAAACTTTTGGCCTTTGGCCATATATTTTCCTGTGGAAATGTACTTTGTGCAGAGGAAAGTTAGTCCTTGGACAAGAAAATGGATTGTCCTTAGGACATTCAGCATCATTTGCTTGTTTGTTACCATAATCGGCTTAATTGGATCCATTGAAGGATTATTAAGTGCCAAATTTGGTTGAAGAAAACTGCATATTATGTTCTTCCTGAACTTGAAATAGTTTCATAATCATTGTAAGTAGATGAAATATATCTATATATATGTATGTATCAAGTCAGGAGAAAAATTCTGTAAAAGTATTGTTCTGGAATGCTAATGAATTTGCATCAGTGGCACATTTCCCCATTTCAGGTTAAGATTTTCGTCATTAATTTACGCTTGCAGCTTTGGCCATATATATGTCTGGAATTACAAAATTCAACAATAACAACTTCTGCAAGGTTAAAAACAGAAAACAAAAGAATTAATCCTTCTCTAACACCATTCAAACATTAGCTCGCAGCATTTTCTTTACCCTTCTTACCTCGAAAGGGCAGGGGTACTGTCACATCCTAACATAAGATTCAATTCGTAAGGTTTGAGTTCTTGAATCCATATTTATCTTTGGGCCAATTTAGCCTCCTACGTCCTTCGGCATCAACAAAGGGAAGTAAGAAAGATCAGAAACAGAACTTTGATTGCTTTTCAAGTATAAAAAGTTGACCAAAAGATGAAAATCGTGGCCCCCTCCACCACCAAACACTGAGTAAAAAAGTCCCATTTGTACAAAAACTAAGATGAATCTTCTTGATTAGACACACACAACTTTCTCATGAACTCAAAGCGCGCGCGCACACACACACACGCAACTTTCTCATGAACTCAAAGCACTTTTATCAGAAGCCAGACACCTCAAACTCCAACTCAACACGACACAAAAACGGGAACGGCGTCTGAAAATCATGACATTCCATTGTTACAAGCACAAACAGCAGACTCATCATTCAAGAGAACTGGTTTAATTTTTTTTTATTTCCTTCTTTTAGTTTCACCTCTCAGCAAAAATATATGTGCAGTATTGGCTCAAGAAAGCTTATGGGGTACTGGAATTACCTATACCATTACAACTGCTAAAAGCATAAGGTATGAAACTTGATCCCATCTGCAATTTCTAACTCTTCTGCTATGTGAATCATTAAACTCTTTAAATTCTGCTGTTATGTTCCTATTTTTGCACATTTTGTCTATATCTCATTGGTGTTACATACATGAGGGGACCTCAGCTTAAGGCCCCCAGAAACTTTCATTAATCTTAGATTCTTACCTTACATTGCCGCAGAGAAATGTATATGCTATTGTTTACTTGACATGATTTTGTTCTCGCCCTGGAATTGCGCTATTTGGCAAGAAAGAAACAAAAATGATCTTTTAAGATAAATGGGATTTCGATATATTTCTCTTAAAAAAATGGTATGATATGATATATGTAGTAGAGTTTGGACCCCAAAAAACCCACTTGGTGTTGGGCCTTTTCTGGATAAGATCATCATGGGCTTGATATGCCAAATTTCTGGGTTGAGTCAAATGTCAGGCCACCATAGATGCATGCATTGGCATTGTAAGGAGGGAAAAATACAAAGAGGCACTCACTGTCACCGGTTGAGTAATTTGTAGGCTAAAGAGACAGAGAGAGATGTCATGCTAATGCCAGCAAATTGAGAATTTGAACCAAAATCTGGCTGGTGTGACATAGCAGAGGTCACGATTCTTCTGGTTGGTTTACTTTACACTTGAAACATTTTAGTGAGTCAACTTACAAACACAAAAATTCTAAACTAAAAATCAATTAGTAGGTTCATTTCACTATTTGCAGCAGCCAGACTGCTACTTCAAAGTTCAACAGTGAAGAAATATATGCCTTTTTAGCCTAGAACCGAAAGCAAAATGCCAAATTGAATTGTGGCACATGCTCTAGAAGAGACACTCTTAAAGACTACATCTAAATATGAACTTTCATTGGTACACACAGCCGCCTTTTTTTTTTTTTTTTAAATCCGAAACTTTTACTACTTTTGTCAGTTGTTCAGTCAGGATTCTCAAAATTAAATACATCCGTAAGAGAGAAGAACTTCTAATAAAAGCGACAAGTGGCTGTTGTAGTTTGAAATTTTGATATTTCTTTCATTTTCAAAGTTCTGTTAGACATCAAGCTCACTCCTATTCTACCTACAAAAGAAAATATTAGTCATATGAGTTGATTACTTTTAGAGTATAACTACAACAAAATTCCAAAATTTCCTTGATTTTTCTGTGGATAAGAAGAATCTCAAACATTAGAATTGCAGTAGATTGAAAAATCACTACAGAAGAAAGAAAAAATAAAGCTAAGCAAAGTTAGAGTGATGGAACCGGCATTGACTTAAGGTTTATATCATGAAATGTTTTTTTTGTGACAGAAAGGAAACGATCCTTTATGTTCATTGGGCATTGACGTTAATTCTACTAAAAGTGAAAGAATAAAATACAAAAAGGACAAAAAAAATGTTTTAAGTTAACATGATTGTCTTGGCTCTATTATAGAAGGCTCCAAGTTGCTGTCTTCTTGCTAATGGAAATATACTTTTATGTTAGCATAAACAGGTGTCATGGCTCCATGAAGGTAGCCAGATTAGTTTAAAGTTCCTGCAAATCTTTTCAAGTTGTGGAGCAGCTAGTTTAGTTCAAGTACATGATAGAGTTCTTCCTTTACAACTCCTCCGTCTTCTAGTTGGTAAGCATATGCCAACTCAATTGACATAGCTAGTATAAAAAGTTTTATAAGAAAAAAGCTCATAGTATAATATAATTATGGTTTTTTTTGAGTTAAGAGTAATGTATATCTGAGCATAATTTAGATTTTCCCAGTGTCATAAAAACAGAAAGTCTTAAGTTTCTCTAAGCCTTTTTTTGTGCCTTATGATAAAAATAATTAAGCGGCAACAAATACTTCCAAGGATGGTGTAAATTGGGCAATAATAGGGAATGCATGTTGTTTCTAAGCTTCTGATCTAGTAAGTTTTGTTTCATTGCATCAATGCATGTATAGTACAATGTTTATAATTGGCTGCTAGCCTTAGGCCCTTTGAATTGGGTATACAGGTTGTAAACTCTCGCCAAAACTTCATTGCCTAGCGCGAATTTGATGAACATGGAAGTTGATCACTCCCTGGAACAAGCTAATGGTTCCTGTGATGATGATGATGGGCAGATAAGAACTGGTACACATTTCCAGGACTCAAAGATAGACTGAACTTTATTATCTTTTCATGCAAATTTCAATCCAATCTTGAATTTTCTGCCTGTGGGAAACTCAATCAGGAACCTTATGGACTTGCGTCGCGCATATAATTACTGCTGTTATTGGTGCTGGGGTTCTGTCTTTGGCATGGAGTACTTCACAGCTGGGATGGATAGCAGGGCCAGTTGCCTTGCTTTGTTTTGCAATCATCACCTATGTTTCTGCTTTCCTCCTTGCTGATTGTTATAGGTCCCCTGACCCCATAAAAGGAACCCGAAACCGTACTTACATCGATGCTGTTAGATTGAATCTTGGTTAAGTAGAATCACTAGCCCTCTCATTCTGTTCTTTCAAGTCAGAAATTTTCTTCTTGTGGATAGGTCTCTTTACATGTCTCCTAATTTCATTTAGTGATAGTTCAGGTAAAATTCATGCCTGGTTTTGTGGTTTGCTTCAAAATCTGAGTTTTTATGGAACTGCTATTGCTTATGTTATTACTACGTCAACCTGTATGAGGTACTGCCTTTGCAAACACATTGATTTATGTCTTTCATTTAGCTCATCACTCCTGACTGCCCTGAAAATTTTTATATTTAGTAATTCTTTTTTTGTGTTTCTTGCTTGTTCTTATCTGGTTCATTTAAATCAATAGAGCTCCTATATTGATTCCCTTTTTTATTTTTATTTTTTTTAATGCTGATTATCCCAGAGCAATCCAGAAATCAAACTGTTACCACAGAGAAGGGCATGATGCTCCATGTGCATATGGAAACACCATATATATGCTACTCTTTGGAGCTGTTCAGATTGTTGTTTCGCAGATACCAGATTTTCATAACATGGAATGGCTCTCAGTTATTGCAGCAATCATGTCCTTTACCTATTCTTTCATAGGATTTGGACTTGGCTTTGCAAAAGTGATAGGTATGGCTGGGACTTGAGCTTTGTGAATTGTTTAGTTGCTGAAATACCATATGGAAATAATAACAATCAAAATTCCTTATTTGGTATGGCAAACTTTGTTTTAAAGACGTCTGTTTGCGCAGAAAATGGGACGATTAAGGGGAGCTTAACTGGAGTACCAGCTGCTAATACTGCTGACAAATTATGGCTAGCATTCCAAGCACTTGGGGACATTGCTTTTGCCTATCCATATTCCATGATTCTCCTGGAGATACAGGTTTGGTACCTAGTCTTTAGTAAATGAAACAGAAACACTATTAAATCAACACAAATTCTATCGACAAAAGAAGCTGAAGTGAATCAAAATGTTTGTTTAATGAAGGATACTTTGAAGTCGCCTCCACCAGAAAACAAGACCATGAAGAAGGCTTCAATGCTTGCAATCTTTATGATAACTTTCTTCTACCTTTGCTGTGGATGTTTTGGATATGCAGCCTTTGGCAATGATACTCCTGGAAATATCTTGACAGGATTCGGATTCTATGAGCCTTACTGGCTAGTTGACTTTGCCAATGCTTGCATTGTTCTTCATTTGGTTGGTGGATATCAGGTATATTTTTTACCACCCCACATCAAGCTACTCAAATTTTTTTTCTCCCAAGGAGCTCTTAACTCAGTGCATAATTTCTTCTCATCTGTTTGATCATCAGATGTACAGCCAGCCGGTATTCGCCGTTTCTGAAAGATGGTTTACTCAGAAATATCCAAACAGTGTATTTGTGAACAAGTTTTTCACCTTCAAGCTCCCCTCATTACCACCCTTGAAAGTAAATCTTTTCAGGATATGCTTCAGAACAGCCTATGTGGTGTCCACAACTGCAATTGCAATGGTTTTCCCTTACTTCAACCAAGTCTTGGGAGTGTTGGGTGCCTTGAACTTTTGGCCTTTGGCCATATATTTTCCTGTGGAAATGTACTTTGTGCAGAAGAAAATTAGTCGTTGGACAAGAAAATGGATTGTTCTTAGGACATTCAGCATCTTTTGCTTGTTTATTACCATAATCTGCTTAATTGGATCGATTGAAGGGCTTATAAGTGCCAAACTTGGTTGAAGAAAACTGCTTATTATGTTCTTCCTGAACTTGAAGTAGTATCATAATATATAGGAAAATAATACAGTCACCGACGGTAGTGCACCGAATGACATGGCAAAATCTTGACCGTTGATTAATTTTAACTTAATATTAATCAACGATCAGGACTTTGCCACGTCATTCGATGCACAAATTCGGTGCACTACCGTCAGTAACTGTAGCATTACTCTAATATATATATCGAGTTAGGGGAAAAATTCTGTAAAAATACTGTTCTGGAATGCTAATGAATTTGCATCAGTGGCACATATCCCTATTTCAAGTTAAGAATTTCTTCATTAATCTACGCTTTCAGCTCTGGCCATATATATGTCTCTGTAAGGTTAAAAACAGAAAACCAATGTTCTAAAAACCAGACCGGGCCTTGACCCGTTCAAGGGTCCGGTTCTCGGTTTGACCAGTTGAACCAGTCGGTTGGACCGTATCCTATAAAATCTTATGGTGGTGTTAAGGAGTTATACCGACACCGAAATTTTCTGGAATCAATAAGGAAGGTCAACGGTTGCATGAATAGGTGGACGGCGATCGACGGTCACTCGAAGTTGGATTATGGGGCTTTTGATGTAGAGGTGCCGATGAATTTTATGGTGATGTCAAGGAGTTCTAACGACGTCATAATTTGTCGGAATCAAGAAAGAAGGCCAACGGTTGCATGAACGATAGGTGGACGACGAGCAACGAAAGGCTAGATGGTGGCCACTAAAAATGGATGGGTTTTGTCGTGGAGATGTTGTCAACTTTTATGGTGGTGTTATCTTCCTCGAACAATTCCAAAATCCAGCGGGATTGACTCGCTATTGGATCACGATTCGACACTGTTCCATCGGTCCAACTACAGCTCAATCCAGTTTGATTGATAATACCGATTTTCAAGAAAAACAAGACGAGAGATGACGCCGATTCCTAGTTGAACTGGTTCGGTTTTGAGAACACTGTAGAAAACAAAAGAATTAACCCTTCTATAACCATTTAAACATCAGCTCATGGCATTTTCTTTACCCTTCTTCTCCTTAAAGGACCGGGGTACTGTCACATCCTAGCTTTTAGGATTCAATGTATCAGGTTTGGGTTCTTGAATCCATAACTATTTTGGGGCCAGTTTAACCTCCTACGTCCTTCGGGATCAAAATAGGGGGGAGTACAAGAATATGCACATGTTTTACAGCAAATACTACCAATAATTGAGGAGCTTCATACTAAATATTAAAAAAATTGACCTTTCAACCTCAAAATACACATGTCATATTAATGACCAGTTAACTACCCCAATAATGGTCAGAAACGCAACCGTGATGGCTTTTCAATTATCAAATAGTGACCAGACAATGCAAACTGTGGCCCCCTCCACTACCGACCAATGACTAGAAAAGTTCCATTTGTGCAAAAACCAAGATGAATCTTCCCGATTAGACACAAAACTTATAGGGTCACGGCTCTTTTATGCGCACAGCTTTCAACTGAATTTAAAGCACTTTTTATCAGAATCCAGAAATTTCAAACTCTTACCCACCACAACAGAGAAATGGGAAAGACGTCTGAAACTCATGACCTTCCATTGTTACAAGCACAAACTGCAGACTCATCGTTCAAGAGAACTGGTTTAGTTTTTTTCTTCTTCTTGTACTTTCACCCCTCAGCGAGATTTTGGCCGGGTGGTTGTGTACTAACTTTTCAAGTGATTAAATTGTGAAGGAAATTTATGGACTGCTGTGGCACATATCATAACTGCGGTGATAGGTTCTGGAGCGCTGTCTCTAGCATGGAGCACAGCTCAGCTTGGTTGGATCGCTGGCCCTTTAGCTGTGCTATCCTTTGCCGCCATCACTTTAGTCTCCTCATTTCTTCTCAGCAACTGCTATAGAACTCCTGATCCTGAACACGGCCCCGGCCGCAACCGATCCTACATTGAAGCTGTTGATCTCAGTTTAGGTATGCAATCTTCAATCTCATTTTTCTCCTACAAATATGTTTCCGATTTCATGAAACTCCTATCATTTTCTCGTATTAGTACCAATTACCAGTATTAGGGTTGATTAAGAGAGATTAGTAATTTATTCGCCAAAATTTAAGGAAGGTCAACAAGATGGAAGTGTCCAATTTTGTCAGAAAGATGATCTCTGATGTGGCGTTAAGATTTAAAGAACGTGAAGGTAGTTGAAAAAGAATGGTAGATGAGATGTTAGGTTTAAAGAATCCAACAAAAGAAGTTAGATAATTTGATGTTGGGACGTGTATAAATACCAGTGTACTTTTTTGGGTACTATAGGATTTGGCATCCTTGAAGATAAGGAAGAATTTGATTGTGTCACAGTATCCTTGCTCTCTGCTCTGATTATACCTTTTTCTAGCTAATATTCAACTTTGGACTTATAAGCTCTGTCTGTTCATGTCATGTCACCCCAAAAAAATCATAAACTTTAATTATGCACTAAAACTAGGGATTTGAGCAATTCTCAGTAAGAAGTCGTTAGGTCAAAATT